TTCACTTGTTAAGTTACAGTCACTCATGTCTAGTCTCGTCATTCACTGTCTGTCATTGCACTTCCTGTTTTATTTTGTACTTACCTTTCCTTCTCGTTTCAAAGCCCTTTACTTCCTGCCATTGTGTGTTTTCCCGCCTGTGAGAGGGTGTTTCTCAATGTCGAGGACGCTTGCTTGGTAGCACATGTCTTCCGAGTCACTTGCTTCAGAAGCGAGGCAAGAATCCTTCCTAGCCTCGGAAAACGAAGAATTGTGGAACAGGCTAACAGGTGTGCGTCATATGCGAGGCCCCGCCTTAAATGGAGCGCGATTTCCGCCAAAGATTTGGAAATTGGTCCGTGCCCAAAGCATTGTGGGAATTTTAAGACCGCGGAGTCTACACATGTGCAGCATCGAAATTTCCCGCTACGAAGTACGCCGGCCTCGGTAGAATTCCAAGTATGCTGGACATTGGAACAGTCCTTCGGCGGCACTCAATGACGTAGTATGCTTGAAATAGTGGCTCTGGAGCAGCCTTCCTCGACATTGAGAAACACCCAGAGTCAGCCCCTCCCTTGATTCTTGCCACCTGTGTCCCATTACCTCTTTTATATTGTCCTTGTCTCCCTTTGTCTTGTGCCAGTTCATCTTGTGTCTTCAAGAGAGCCATAAGGCTTGTTTGAGATGAGCTGCGGCTCGCCTCGAAAGTAGACGAGAATAGCCGATTGCAGCCCGGGGAGGTCTCAAAAAGACGGTGGTCTACCTATGCTGTAAAATGTATTATCTCTTTGATTTAAACACGGCATCTATTGCACGTCTGTCCGTCCTGGGAGAGGGATACCTCCTCTGTTGCTCTCCCTGAGGTTTCTCACATGTTCCCCTTTAAACTGTGGGGGTTTCTCTGGAAGTGTTTCCTTGTACGATGTGAGGGTCTAAGGACAGAGGGTGTCGTATTGTCATACTGATATTCTGTACAAACTGTGAAGTCCACTGAGACAAATGTAACATTTGTGATATTGGGCTATATAAATAAACATTGATTGATTGATTGAAAAAGCTTGCCTGGAGTCGGCTTGACTCGGTTTGCATTTATAAAGAATGCACAAATGTGTTTAATCGTTAATGTCAGATATGTACTAAGTAAATACATTTGTTCCTGCTCAAGATTAGATTCAACTTTATTGTTATTGCACAGATTACAGGTACTGAGACAACGAAATGCAGTTTAGCTTCTAACCAGGAGTGCATAAAGCAGTAAAGTGAAAAGTAATGTACACAATCTACAGAATAAAATATAGAATGAATTGAATGATGAAAAAACAGTGAGGGATATGAATACACTATATACACAGTAGCCTGTGAGCAGTATGAACAGTATGAACAGTGTGTATGAATATGCTAAGATATATAAAGTATGAAAACGGTAAGCAGTGCAAGTATAGTATAACATATATAGATATTAATTTAATGATGATACACATTGTGGAACAATGATGAAAAATGTGAATGGAAGTGGCGACGTAAAACTGACACAAAACAACAACACACTTTTGCCGAGCCAATGGAGAGTTTCATCACCAGCACGGGGTAAAAACCACCAATGAGCGCTCAGCTCGAGATACCAGCGAATCGTTTCCCATCAAGCATTTAGCTTCTGCAGCTCGTGGAGAGAAACTGCTCCGCCTCGCTCTCAAGGCTGCCGGCGTCTTTGTCCCGCGAGATTTCAACATCTCATGCAGTCGAGCCTCCAGAGCAAGTCGGACAAAATGACTAACCATCATGCAACGCACTAGCAAGACGGCGGTCGCAATTGCGCAGGTCTGCGTCGGTCTCGCTCATCTCAAACAAGCCTATTGTCTTTGTTGTCTAAGTATTTGAGTCACATTTCTATCAGTATGAGTGGAGGTTTTGTTTTCTCCGTTATAATATTCATAAAGCATTCATCCATCTTAGAGGTAGACTTTATTTTGTATCTGAATATTAAAGAATGAAATATAAATAATCCATACCTTCAGAATCCTGCAGTCTGTCTGTTATTGCAGTAATGTGTTTGTCAGTTTATGTAGTCAAATGTCAAACTGCAAATGGCTTTATGAGAGTCCACTGACGCACAGGTTGTTTCCATACATAAAGGAACATTTACTGCGTTACGTACTGTATGCCTTGTCAGACATAAAGGTGCTCTTGTAAAGGTCTTCAATGACATCCACTTAAACACAGACAGTGGCAGAACTTCAGTGTTAGTATTATTAGATCTCAGTGCTGCATTTGACACTGTTGACCACAACATATTACTAGACCGACTAGAAAACTGGGTGGGACTTTCGGCAACAGTTCTAAATTGGTTTGAGTCCTACTTAAAGGACAGAAAAAACTTTGTTTCTATAGGTAAATACACATCTGAGTTGACAAATATGACATGTGGGGTACCTCAAGGCTCCATCTTGGGGCCTCTTCTCTTTAACATCTACATGCTACCACTGGCTCAGATAATGAAAAACAACAAAATAAGTTACCATAGCTATGCGGATGACACACAAATTTACGCAACAATTTCACCAGGAGATTATGCTCCAATTCAAACACTGAGTAAGTGCATTGAACAAATCAATGACTGGATGTGTCAGAACTTTCTCCAATTAAACAAAGATAAAACTGAGGTAATGGTTTTTGGAGCCAAGGCAGAACGTATAAAAGTTAGCGCTGAGCTTCAGTCTGCAATGTTCAAAACAACAGATAAAGCCAGAAATCTAGGTGTAGTCATGGACTCTGACCTGAGTTTCAACAGTCACATTAAAACAGTTACTAAATCAGCCTACTATCACCTAAAGAACATATCTAGGATTAAAGGACTAATGTCACAGCAGGATTTGGAAAAACTTGTCCATGCTTTTATCTTCAGTAGACTCGACTACTGCAATGGTGTCTTTACAGGCCTCACTAAAAAATCTATTAGAAAGCTGCAGCTAATTCAGAACGCCGCTGCTCGAGTCCTCACTAACACTAAGAAAGTGGATCACATCACTCCTGTTCTGAAGTCTTTACACTGGCTTCCTGTGTGTCAAAGAATAGATTTCAAAATATTGTTGCTGGTTTATAAAGCTTTGAATGGTTTAGGCCCAAAATACATGTCTGACCTACTGCTAAATTATGAACCATCCAGAACCCTCAGGTCTTCAGGGACTGGTCAGCTTTCTGTCCCCAGAGTCAGAACTAAACATGGTAAAGCAGCGTTCAGTTATTATGCTCCGAATATCTGGAACAAACTCCCAGAAACCTGCAGGTCCGCTGCAACTCTTACTACTTTTAAATCCAGGCTGAAGACTTTTCTTTTTGCCGCTGCTTTTAATTGAACTATTCACATCTTAAACTGCACTGTAACTTTTAACTTTTATCCATGTATTTTTTCTTTTAATGTTTATTTTATTATCTTTCCTTTTTAATGACTGATTTTAAATGCCATTTTTAAAATGTCTTCCATTTTTGTAAAGCACTTTGAATTACCTTGTGTTGAAAGGTGCTATATAAATAAACTTGCCTTGCCTTGCCTTGCCTACCAGGAAGCTGCTTTATAAAAGCCACATCTGTCTGTAGCTTCTGAAATCGAAACACATATTTATTCAGCTCGATGCTTTCAATGACACACTCTATAGCAGGGTCAAAATAAAACACTCATACCTGTCATTCCAGAGGAGCGTGCTTGAAAAGAGTGCTCACATTAAATAATTGCTTGGTTTCTCGAGTCAAATGAACAGAAAAAGAGAAGATGTTCCACATGTTTCAGCACTAATGCAAAACACAGCTCATACAGGTGTAGGAGTGTGTGTTAGGATTATATATGTGAAGTCTCGCATCTTTACAAAGACTCTGAATGGTAAATGGACTGTATTCATGTAGCACTTTATCCAGTCTTTACAAATCCTCAAAGCGCTCTACATACTTCAGGTCATCATTCAACCAGAGCAATGTGCAGCTTTTTGCATAAGGAATCTAATTTTCACACACATTCACCCACCGCAATGCCCTCAGGAGTGAATAGGAGTCATCTTGTCCATTAAGGATACCTCAACATATCGACTGCAGGGGGTGGGATCCAACTCACAACCTTCTGATTGTTAAATGATCCATACATTTAATGTCCTGCAGTCTGTCGCTATGACAATGCTGTGGTAATACAGGTTTTTTTATCAGTATCTTGTGATCAGTTTCTGTTGGCACACGTCATATTAGAAATTGCTTCATAAAAATGAACTCACCCATGGCTTTTGTCCAAATATAGAAACACAATCCTACTGCTGCATGCCCAGTAAAATATATTAGAATTTACCGCTGCTGACCGCTCAACTATCAAACCATGATCAACCTAAAGCACACCCAATCAGATGTTTTGAGTTGACACATCAGCGGTGAGTTAAAACACATCTTTATTGAGTCTAACTTCTAACATGTGGTCCAGTTTCTAGCAATGGTCAGTGCTTTTCAATTATATGCAAATTATATCAAGTGGCCATGTAAATAATTCAAACTTTGAGCACCACATGACAGCAAATCCATTTCGCTGCGGTTGCCAAGGCAACAAGTGTACTATTGTGAATAGGTGAATGCATTCACGTCTGCTTATCATGTAGAGACAGCCTTACTGTGACCTCTATTGTCAACAAATATTGACATATTGACAAATATTATTCAGCAAACTGAATAATATTAACGGTAGTAGGTTTAGAAAATGCGTAGAGGACCAAAGACAAGTAATAAACTCCACCATGCTCTCACATGTGAAAAAAACATGAAAATGTACTCTTGGATCTGAAAATAGGTCTCTTTCACATTTGTCAGTGTTTTCTAAGAAAAATACTAAAAACATAATGATGAAATCTCACATGAAATGCGGTCAACCTTCATTGTTTCTTGGTTCAGGGACTGACTCTCAAAGTCTGAGCTGAATACATTTCTCAAACCCATAGAAACAACAAATCGAATAAGTGTTTGCAGTTCTCTGAGCATGCCTGTTTCTCTCTTAGATGAGGAAATCATCTTCCAGAGCTGGGATGGAGACATCATGAAAGCCAACACACAGAGCAATGAGACCCAGCTGCTGCTGAAGAACACAACGTTTGTAAGTGCTGGCCCTGTGTCTCCACTCACTAAGGATAGTACACATGTCCACTCAGGAAACTTGACAGCTTTAAACAAAAACTAAAAAAGTAAAAAATATTGAAAGACATTTTATTACGTTTTTAGATGTTTTTTTTTTTCTAGCATCACGTGTCATTGTTACCATGGCAACGTGTTAGCCGTCAGCAGGTGGTCCGAAGGTGGTTTTACACAGATCTCGTTTAGTGAGAATGTGTTAAGATTTGTTTTTAGATAATGATTGTTTGGCAGTTGTATCTCTAAAGTAGTTTCAGAAAGTTTAAAAAACTGGATTGCTGAAAACTAAAATAATGTATCTACTTTCCTTCCCATAGGCAACTTTTAAGGCCTCAACGTTTGCAGTTTCTCCAGATCTAAACTTTGTTCTTCTGGGATATGATGTCAAGCAGGTGAGCACCTCTCAATAATCTGCTTTCATATTCTGACACTGGTGTTTGGCTCGGGGCTGTTAATACTGGAGGTTTACAGTTCATGGAGATGTGACCCACATGCAGATCTCTTATCACTCAGTGAGTTTGAGCCAGCACTGATCCAGCACGAGGGCACCAGCTTCAGAGATGTGAGAAAAGACATCGGCTGTGTTCTAAATACCAAACCTATTCTATTCATTCTAATACTGACTAAGAGTTGAGTGTAAAGTTTGTTCCTAATTCAAAGTATGGGGATTTGTGTATGCCATAAATGCCCGGATGTATAAATAGGAAGGAATTTGCAAGCTTAATCCTGAACTGCCCCAAAATGCATTGCAGCCCCTCAGACTGCCAGGCAGATGATTTAATAATTAACCGTTAAATAATGAAAAAGAGGAAACTGCTGTCAGCTCAGGAGGACAGTTGCCCTATTTTGCAATTACATTTTCTATAAAATGGGTTTTGTATAAACGTTGATTTGATATATGCAGTGCATACATTCCTAAAATAATTATGAGGGATGGCAAATGATAGCTCAGAGATAAAAAACACAAGATCTCACATTAATAATGTAGGCATACTGTAGACAAAAATGTAACACTCAAATATTGATATTAGATAGATATATAGATAGATAGATAAATAGATAAGTACTTTATTGATCCCAATTTGGGAAGTGTTTGCGTTGCAGCAGCATAAAAAACAAGGCAATGTAAGAGAAATGAAGACACTAGAAATAAACAGTCCAAAATATTTCTGAAATAGAAATAAAATAGCATTAAAAAGTTAAAAAAAATGGTAACACTTTATATTAAGGTACACAAATTAACCATCAACTAGTTGTTAATTAACATGCATATTAGCAGTATATTGGCTCTTTATTAGTCATTATAAAACACTTATTAATGCCTTATTCTACATGACCATATTCTACAAGTAATAAGCCATTAGTTGAGAGTTTTTCCTCAATAACCCTCTAATTAGTGCTTATGTATTGCAAGTAAGGAAGTTGTTGTACATGAGTTTTGGTCTCAATATGCTCTGCTCAATATGGGCCTAATAAGGCAGTAGTACCACAAGAATAGTAATTCTCCCATAATAACACTTAACAAATATGATCTCTTCTTATGTAACAAGACATGAATAAATACCTAATTTTGAGTTATTTAGACAAAATTAACACTTATAGTTGAATGTCTTGTTACATAAGAATAGATCATATTTGTTAAGTGTTATTATTATTAAAAATAATCAGAATTCTGACTTTTTTTTTTCACATTCCCCCAACATCTTTTTCATGTTGCCCTAATCCTCTTCCGTAGAAAATATACATGTGGAAATACACATTTCCAACAACAAATATGATGCAGGATATTATTGTGCAAGAAATGGATTATTCAATATTAAATGGAATTTTCCTTAAAATACTATTGGAAAATATTAAAATGCCTAATAGAGGCAATGCTGATTGTGGTTTATACGGTTATATGATGGATGCAGATATGTGACAGAGTTCTTCTGAGTTTACTAAGAGTATGCAGTCGTGATGGTAATGTCATCCTTAATTGTTAGTTTAGTAGGTAGTACATGCAGTAAACACCGATCTGTTTGTGATATGAAGTATGGTGGTAATCGATTTCCAACAAAGTCATTGAGATGTTTTTTTAGAATTAAACAGGAGCAGGGTATGCAGAAGTATCATAAACAGACCTGTCCAACAGAACAGTATGTTCCATTTGTTTACATGTAACAAATATGAAGCAATCCCCAGTCACTATCACTATACCACAATGCACTTTGTTTCCAGTTGTTTATGTTTCACTTGGAATTAAGAATATATCTACTGACTGCTATACTTGAAAATGAAACGGTGAATCATAACATTAAAAAGAATGCAGTTCTTTACCTGTAACTTTTTTAATTTTTTTTTACAATTGCTCAGTTTGGTGAAGACAGTAAGCCTGGCCCCTTTAAACCCCTCTGTAAACCTAGCTGACAGGACGAATGGTTAATGTTGAGCCATGCTTATGTTTAGCATGGATCTAATACCTGGTTAGATGTACTGTATACAGTTTTAATATTAAAGAACCCTTGAATATTTACATACTAATATTGAAAAATGTGGTTCTTGTTTTTATTTGTATAAATTCATTTAGGTCTGATTAAAGGTGAAGTCAGCAAATCTGCGTAAAGTTTGTTAATATTCAAACTTAACAACCCCCCCTAGATTTATCCCCCCTAGCTCCCAATGCCTTTCTATCCAAAAAGAAAAGGTGTATTGGAGTCAAATTACAGACCCAACCTTTTAATTTCTGATCCCATCACACACACTGACATTATAGATCACATTATGCCTTATCATGAGAGCAGCATTACTTGTCACAGCAGATTAGCACAGCTAGGCTAACACCACCAGGGGGGGGGGGGGTCGGCGAATAATCGATTAATATTCGCCAGGGCTGTCCGATTTTCGAATTTGATCATGGTCAGTTTCTGGCATCCCTAGTATACATTGATGTGCAGATTTGATGATTACAAATGTATTATTCACGTAAAGTGCGAGCACTTTTGAATAACATACGTTAATATACCATTTACCAAAGTTGGGGCACCATCTCTCTAATAAGAGAGAAAATATGAGAGCATAATCTATTATTGTAGTCTCATAATCTGAAAATCGGAGTTGACTCGAGGCTGATTTACTTCACACACAAAAACACATGAACTGGTTCTTTCTAAATGACAAATGTATTAACTACTAAGAATATACAAAACTAAAGACTAACATAAGTATCACATGAATAATGTGAATGATGAATGTATGAATGGCCAGTTACACAATTAATATGAATAAATCTGATTCGTTCGAGTTGAAACTCTTAACAGCTGAGAGATTGCAGTATCATGTAAACCCTAATCTAACCTGAAATCAACAACTAAAATGAACATTACCCAAGTATACGGATCCCATTGTCTTACTGAACCGATGAGCGGGTGGTGGCGGTGCTGGATGCAGGACGGAAGACAGCGGGGGGAAGTGGGCCCGGTCTGGGCTGAGACTTCCCCCCTCGGAGCGGCACAGTTGGGCCAATTCTGCCGGTGACGTTGGACCTTGTGGCTCACGACCACGATCAAGCAGTTTTCGACCTTGGGTCGGCACATCAGAGCCCGGAAACTGGTGATGCGTTTGCGCTGTTTTCTTAAGCTCCTCAGAGCACATGGGATCGAACAGTGTAGGTTTTTTTAGCTCTGAGCCCAGCATTAGCCGAAAAGCTTATTTACAAGTTAACAGCGTTTAATAAAACAATGATACAGTGATACAATGAAATTGCAAATGGTGACTCGGCCTGAGTGCGCTCCTTCCCGTCTCCTTCATGGGTGGCTGGGAAAAGAGAAAGACTTTCTGTTGGCTTCCCATATTATCATCTGTAGTCTTCTCCTATTGGCTTAGCGTTGACGGGGGCGGGTCCAAGGCACGTCCTGTCGTTTTCTGATGTTAGTTTTACAATCTTCTAATATCTGTTGGTCATTTAACCCTTGTATGGTGTTCATATTTTTGTTACTCAGCCAGTGTTCGTGGGTCTGGTGGACCCACTGCCTTTTTGGGCTTCAATTCAACACAATCAAACTATTTGATGTTAAAATACTCAACAGATTGTTACTTCATCTCAATTACTAGCAATATAAACAACATATATGGTTCATATTTGCCCTTTTACAGTTGTTAGATCACATTAATGAATTAAAGTGCTACTTGTTTTTTTGCCCACTGACCGGCTGGTCCTGTGGCTCATCTTTTTTTTGTAACTAGCTGATGCTCAATCTCATCCTCTTCTTCAAAGTCACTGTCAGACTCAGAATTCTCCGAAATGTGATCCTCACATTCTGAAGCCTCTTCCTCTTCCTCTGTCTACATCATCATCAAATGGTTCTCTCTCTTCCAGAATCATTTGCAAGGCCATCTTGATCAGCTGTGATAAGGACCCAAACTGAAGAAGCTTTATTTATTGAGTCTTGACCCAAATGTGCAGCTTGGATAGAGTGTGAAAAAAATAAAGATTGGTTCGCGCAAAACATAATGCGGGAATGTGAAAGCAAACAGGTGTCCGTGCTTGAATTGATCAACAATGTTGCAACCTTGTGCGGGAATGGCAGGTGCAGAAACACAAAAGTCTCGCACAGACACAGACACAGACACACACACACACACACACACACACACACACACACACACACACACACACACACACACACACACACACACACACACACACACACACACACACACACACACACACACACACACACAGGGAAAAGGGAGACTAGGGAACACACTAGGACTCAGGGACACAGGTGGGGCCGTGACATCTTTGAAGTAAAGAGAGTAAATGTTAGGATGCTAAGATGTGAAGACTGAGGAACATAAGGCAGTGTACGAAAAAGCACACGTCCCACCGTCCGGGACGTGTTATTTACAATATCGGACAAGTAGATCTTTCAATTGACTTGTCCGATGGACAAGTGACTTACTTTGACCATCCGTTCGCTGTTATTGATCATTGTGGAGAGCAGGCAGACGTTTTGTTTTGTATTATAGCAGCTATCGGATGGAATCAATACATGGGCTGCACAGGTTGTCATGTCCGACTATCACAAGTAGAATCATAATGAAAAATACGCCGGTAAAATGTGCCTGTAGAAAACGGCTTATGCCACAATAGGATAGCAACAAGTAGTCAAGTTATAGTCAGTTTAGCTTCGGTTGCTATGCTAACATCACCCAATTTATACCAGAGAAACTTTCATAACAGCGTCAATTCAGACTGACACACATTCACTTATGGGGAATTGGGGATATGTATCAGCTGCTTGTGTGACAGTCGGACAGTGAATACTTTACAGCGGCCGCTGCTGTGAGTTAACGGGAGAATAAACTCCTGTGGAAGAGCAGCCAGCACTGCAGCAGTCGGTAAATGCCG